GCGCAGCACACCAAGCTGGATGAATTTCAGCCCCCCTCCCCCCCAAAAAGGAGGGTTTAAAAAGTCTCAGCTACAGCTCTTCTCTTACAGAAGTGTTCTGGCCACATACCATGACATTCTTTCCTAGGCCAATATGGACTGTTTGCTTGGCTGGCATCTTCTCAGGACACTTATCCCCACAGATGCTTAGTGGATGGGCCAAAGAGGTGGTGGCTCACACAAGTGCACACAGCCGACATGGTTCTGCTTTCACCTTTGGCTTTTTCTTTGTTGTTACTACTGTTTTGGTTTCTAGATTTTTTTTTAAATACAAGGGAATTTATTAGGGAAAAGCCTTACCTACAGAGAGACCTAGCCAGCCAGCAGGACTGCAGTAAGTACAGCAAGCTGAAGACGAAACAGAAAAAGGGACCAGCCATGTGAGCACCCTCACTATTAAACCTTTCCCATGTCACCCTGACTATGCCCTCGCAGGCATGGCTACAGTGTCCCCAGAGGACACTTAGATTCTTACCTCATTGTTTGCAACTATTTCCAACCCCCCCTCTCCCTATGTGGGCTGTCCAAAATCTGTGCAGCTCTCCTAACATTCTATAGTCCCTGTCTTCTCTGCATAGATACCCAGGGGCCTGGATGTTACCTGGGTTTCCATTCACAGATTGCCCCTAGGCATATGGGTATTCAGAAGACAGTGCTGTCCTCCTTTGGGGGACTGAAGGGCACATAGTCAGCAATAAGAAACTGTCAGATTGTTTCCAAGGGATCCTGAGACTCAAGTGCAGGAATACAAAATGTCCAAGTGATTGAACGGGTCTGAGCCGGTTTGAACTGGTCAAAACCACATTGAACCAGTCTGAACTGGTCTGACCAGTCAAAACCGGATTGAACCGTTATGAACCCGTTTGAACAGGTCAAAACCGGATTTATCTGGTCTGAACCAGTTTTAACTGGTCAAAACCCGGATTTAACTGGTCTGAACCAGTTTTAACTGCATTTAACTGGTCTGAACCAGTTTTAACTGGTCAAAACCAAATTGAACCCGTTTGAACTGCTCAAAGCCGGATTGAACCAGTCTAACCGGTTGGAACCAGTCAGAACTGGTCTGAACCGGTCAAAACCGGATTGAACCGGTATGAACCCGTTTGAACAGGTCAAAACCGGATTTATCTGGTCTGAACCAGTTTTAACTGGTCAAAACCCGGATTTAACTGGTCTGAACCAGTTTTAACTGCAATTAACTGGTCTGAACCAGTTTTAATTGGTCAAAACCAAATTGAACCCGTTTGAACTGCTCAAAACCGGATTGAACCAGTCAAAACTGGATTGAACGCGTCTGAACCTGATTGAACCAATTAAAACAGGCTTGAACCTGTCTGAGCCAGTTGGAGCAGGTCAAAACCGGATTGAACAGGTCTGAACCAGATTGAACCGGTCTGAACCGATTGGAACTGTTCGAAACCAGATTGATCCAGTCTGATACAAGAGCAAGGGCCAATATCTCTCGAGAAAGTGGGTCCCCTCAGGCCATAGTGAGTGCAGCATCTGTCTGCCTCTTGAAAAAATTTGCCCCCTTCGCAAAGGGATTCCCTATTTTACTTTTCTATTTTTAAGCTCCAAGCTAGGAAAGCCAGAGAGTACAAACTCCAGGAGAGGGCCTTATTGTTTTTGAAAGCCTTTTATCTTGGGGTTTTTGCGGTTCCATTGCAAGCAGGCACCATAGAGCCTGCTTCGGCCTCTCCCAGCTTCTCTGGTGGCACCGGTGCACTGCTGCAGGCGCCATGGCTCCTTGGAGCCCTGTTTGTCCTGCTGTGGGTCCTGTAAGAAGTCCTACTGGTGGGCCTGGAGGGTGGGTGTGCGGTGGGGAGATGAACGCTGCACTAGGACTTCACCGAAGCTGTAATTTATGAAAATTCATTCCGGCGTGGCCTGCGCTGTCATTCCGGGTCTACCGTGATATGATCACCTGCGGATCTCTGGGTTACTGCCTACATCAACTTCCAGCATCCAGCTGACCCCGACAGAGACTTGGACACGATGAACATTGATGTGGTTAAGGGAAAGCCAGTCCCGATCATGTGGTCTCAGAGGGATCCCTCTTTGGGAAAGTCTGGTGGAAGGAATGTCTTCATCCAGAACGTGGACAAATCTATCGACAACAAGGCACTTTATGATACTTTTTCAGCCTTTGGAAACATCCTGTCCGGTAAGGTGGTGTGTGATGAGAATGGCTCTCAGGGTTATGGCTTTGTCCACTTCAAGACCCAGGAGGCTGCCATCGAGAAGATGGATGGCGTGCTCCTCAATGACTGCAAAGTGTTTGTGGGCAGATTCAAGTCTTGAAAACAGGGGGAAGCAGAGCTCAAGAACAAGGCCGAGAAATTCACCAATGTTTATATCAAAAACTTTGAGGAGGAAGTGGATGATGATGATCTGAAAGAACTATTCAGCCAGTTTGGTAAAACTCCAAGTGTCAAGGTGATGAGAGATCCCAGTGAGAAATCCAAAGGCTTTGGCTTTTTAAGTTAGGAAAAACACGAGGATGCCAACAAGGACTGGATATCAGCAGGCTCTCCTATCTTGTCCAGAACCCGGATGGTAGTTTGAAAATCTTTTCCCAGGACATGGCCTTAAATTTTTTCTAAATCCTTGGTTTCTAGATTTGAGACAGGATTTCACTCTGCAGCTCAGGCTATCCTGGTACTACTGTATAACCCAGGCTGCCCTCAAACTCTCCATCCATCTGCCCCTGTGCAGGGATTACAGGTGTGCACCACCATGTCTGGTTTCTTTGTCGTTCCATCATTCATTACCTTCCTTGAAAAGTGACTTGCCTACACACATGGCTTAGTAAGTGCTATTGAATACAGCAGATGAGTAATCTCCTGCATCATGGTCTAATGCTTATAGAATGGCATCCACGATGAAACAGTAGAAATCTAAAATGAATAAAGATGGGAAAGAAAACAAAACAAGTTATCAAAACAGAGGCACTGGTAAGAAAATAAAACTGTAAACCCTCATCTGCATCTTGGTCCTCTTCCTTCCAAGATGGCATCCAATACCTCTACGGCACAGTTGAAGTCCATTTTTCATGCGCTTATCAAGGTCTCACCTGAAGAACTCAGATAACTGCTGCAAATAGGCTCCTATATATCTAGAAAGCAAAAAAACCCCTGAAAACTAAAAATCTGTCTGTGCAATGAATAATTTGTGCTAAGATGATGCCCAGAGAACTCTCAAGAGATGTTTTGCACAATTCACTTCATCTTAATACCTGTGGAGATGTACTCCCGCCACTCCCCAGTCTAAAGACAAGAAAACATGGTTTTAGAATGCTAGCTGGGACCACCCACCTACAAACCATCACCTGAGTTTGAATCCACGGAAGTCACCCTCAAGTTCCAAAGGATGTGAGAGTCCCCCGAAGACCACCTGGAAATACACTTGTGTCAGCGAGGGAGTAGCACCGCTGAATTTTACTGTTCAGGGTGCTTCATGCTCTTCATTTCTAGGAATGTTTTATAGGGGAAAAAAGCCTACCTGGCTAATATAACCAGCATAATGTGTAGGGTTGTATTGTGAAGGTCAAATAAAATCATGGCCATAGAAGACCTCTGAGGAATGCAAAATATTCAACAGAGGAATAAGAATGCCACTGCTATAAAAATGGCGTTGTATAGGTGCTATGTGCGACATTTCTCAGCAGAGCAGGCTATTATGTAACTCGCAATACCTATTTATCTAGCCAGTACAGGGCATACCTGTAGCTTGTGAATGAGCTACCTTCTCAGGCCTGAGCTCCAGAACTGATCAATGTTAGTGATTCCACATTTAACTTCTTGTTTTTCTGACTTATTTTTTGGGTCACAACTTTCTGGATCTTTCTTTGACAAGAACTGATGGGGTTGTGGTGAACAGGGCACCATGAACTAGCAGGTGACACCAGGGATTTGCTCATCTTCTATGCAGTGCCAGGTGATCTCCCTGATCAAGGAGACACATGGACCCAGGTGTCTTCAGTGATTTCCCCCAAGGTATTTCCAGCTCTGACGCTGGGTCCTGCAAAGGTTAGGAAAGCAGACAAATATCTTGGCAGGCATAGGTAAACAACCAGATGGCAAACTCCCTGCTTCTTCATCACCTAGAATCAAGACACCCCCACCCCCACATGTATAGGGATCCCTGTTCTGGCTGACTTGGTTATCTCTCAGTTTTCGTGAAGACAGGCTTACCTGTCAACCACACCTCCCCCTTTTAAGTTTGCCAGTTGGAAATCATGAGAGGAAGACCAGGACCCCCCTCACACACACACTTCCCCTCCTCACCCCTGACGCTTGGAGCGGTTCTGAGGATCTGCACTTGGGAGTCGCCCCTCTGTGGGAGCGTGAGTGCTTCTTCAGTTTTAACAACCATTGCTGCCTGCCCCAGACATCCTTCCTGCCATTTCGTTCCTTAATTGGCCGAGAAAACGAATCTAGTCAAGACCCCTACTGGGTACTAGAGACAGGATGTTCAAAACGTCTTGGACCCCTCAGCTGAGACCTCACTGGTCCTGAACTGCACTTTCCAAGAAAATCACAGCAAGGGATGTGGACGAATGAAATGACAGAATTTCCTCCAAAAGGAGTGGGATGGATGAAAACTGACTACACTTTCTTGATTGGGCTATTTCACGTTTGAAAGGGCGATATAGGAGACCCCCTGTAGCCTCTGCCCACTCTTTCATGTTATAAGAGAAAACCCGGGATAGAAGAAAAGCATGTAAGAAGGCCCTCACGGGCGAAAGGCAAACACTGGCTTGACCCTTCGCTATGGAAGTTAACTGACAACAGGAAGGAAGCTATTAACCCCGCTCTTCTCCTCCTCTCGCCCTGGTGACAGCCAACAACTCCTCCTCCCAGGCTGAGACCTTGGAGCAAAAAATGCAAAGGAGCGCCTGGTTGCCGCAACTCCGCGCGCGTTTCTCCCAGTAGAGGAAGAGGGAAGAGAGGAGGGTGCAGCCTGAAGCCAATTTCAGCCAGTTTGTGACAGGAGCCTGAACGTCCAGAAGAGACTCCTAGGACTCCAGCATCCTCCTGCTGGCCGCACAAGGCAGGCACC